TTTTTCTCTCAAATGGATTATCGCATCTCCAAACTCTTCAGATGCAGTTCAATGAATATTGTCATTTGTTTGGGAGAATTACTGAAGAAAAAAAAGAAGCAATCAGTTTTGAACAGTTTTCCTTCTGAAGCAAGAATCCTTCTGCATTACTTCAACAGAGATAATGAAATTATGCTATATGTGGCATTTTTTTTGATAATTTATCAGAATTTGTCTCAATAGAAACAAAGATGGATGGATTTTTTTTTTACGCCTGATATATCATTTCAAGGTAGTGAAGAAGTGTGTCAACTTTTGGCACTGCCTTCTAAGTTAAGGAACAATTTTTAACTCTGCACGATAAGCCAACTTGATTGTGGTCGTTCATTTTTTTCCTAAGCAGTTTTTGTTTCCCTGTTGGGAATAGGCTGTATATCACAAACAGTAAGTTCAGATCTATTTTTCAATTTAAAATAAGCATGATTACACTTTAATTACTGTTGTATCACCCACAACAAAGTACACATGTGAGACTTTGACGTTAACGCTCCTTGCAATTTCCACTCTATCACCCCCTTACCACCCACTCTCCCCGCCCACCCTCACTCACAACAAAACCTTGGCTTTCTTTCTGAAATTTCTCCCTGAATGCACTCGGTGGTAAAATCAACCTTTTGCCGTTTGCAATTGCAAATTTTATCAATTTCATTACAGTCAATTCCATTACATTCTTATATGTCAATGCTACGCTACGTCGTATTGTCAAGAGCAGGAGTCGGTACTCCGCATAACGCGTGTCAATGTGATAATCTATGCGCCAGGCCCTAGGGACCAGTGATGGGCGGTTTAACCAACCGAGTCATTACAAAAGATTAGGCTTGGGACTATATTTTAATAATACCATATAGTGACAATATTCTTCGATATCCAATAATACCAAATTTCATCTCATGAATAGTTTGGTTGTGGTACCCGCTGCTATATCAGATTCGAACCGGCCAGCCGACCCCGGCAAGCTCGGTGGTCAAGTGGTAAGACGTCTGTGCTAGTAATTAGGAGGTTGTGGGTCCGAGTCCCATCTGAGTAGTTTTTTTCTCACAATCACTCGGGAACAACACTGAGTATACACAGGGTTTATGAAAATACATTGATGAAGGACAAAACTCACTGAAATTTACATCTTATGAATAATACTGAATGATGGTGTTAAAGGGAAAATACAACATTTGCAAACATCAAAAAATAAAACTACCAAATCATTTTGAAATACCTTGCTGGACTGTTAGTGAATGACAGTGTAAAGCATCCTGTAAAATCATGGCACCTGGTATACTGTCATTTTCAAGAAAAGTGGTATTTTTGTATCAATTTCCAACGCTGATCGGCTGACCAGCGTTGGAAAAAACTGGCTTTTTTTCAAATACTGGCCCCAGTTGACCATCGCACTTGTTTGCAATCGATTACACACCTATGAACGGGTACAAGCCAGCTAGACTGGTTCCCTGACCTTACAATTCCCCAATATATGTAAACTGCTCTGTTTCTTCTTAAATAGAGTCAGGGAACCAGACTACAGGAAAATGATTGTTTTTCTTGGTTTTTATAGCATTTTCGAACCCAAAACCTCAAAAAAGTCAGTGTAACTATATTTGCTATATATTTCCAACCCCCCAATTCCATCCATTTCTGAAAATTACAGCAAAAGCAAATGATGTATATTCCCTTTAAAATACCAAAAAAACAGACAACCTCAGAATGGAATTCGTAACCGTGATTTTCCCTTTTGAATGTGGCCAGATGTTTGCAAAAGCCCTTTAAATTTTGTTTACCTGGATTAACCCTGTGAAAGTATAGCTCTCAAAGTTTCATAACATATGGATGATTGCTAGATGTATTATTTTATTCACAGATAAATCATTATATACACAGATATGTGACCTTTCTTGAAAAACGTAACACATTTGCTGTGTCGGCCAGCCATATGGAGGTTTACACACAAAATTCAATTCTATTTGTGAATACCTTTAAAAAATACAGTTTGGGAGACTTTGCCCAATCAGTGATCAACGTTATTCAAAGGGAGTTCAAATGTGTCCCTCAGTGAATACCTACAAAAATATGGGTTTTTGCCCTTCCAGTGATTATTGTGATTTGATTGATTTCAATAGATTTGGAGAAATTAACTTCGCTTAGTTGTTGGGTTTGATTAACTTGCTTCCGACCCAAAAAACAAGAAATTAAAATGTTACGGAGATATTTCTTTTTTTTTAACATAAAAATTTTCCCCTTCGTGAAAACAGCAACGAGATGTACGCACACTGTACAGGAATTGTCTGCCGTATGAGTTATTGTGGTTTTTTTTTCTAATTAGAATTCATTAGAACTGGGCCGAGTCAGATTTGTTTGTAACGAAGCAAGGACACACGTACCAGTAGCCTTTTGTTTACCGGTAGGCCTAATTATCGCATATTGTTAATCTCGCAAGAGTGCTCCAGGTATCTCAAGGACTTCCGCATTAGAATCCCAGCTTTGGCATTGGGAAGGCACGTATTATCTACATGGATTAATTACTACCAGTAAATTGCAAATTGTACATGAAAAACTATAACACTAAAAAAGGTGTGTTGAAGTTAGTGTGTGAATTTGGAGGCATTATTTTGAAAGTTCATATATTTCTGAATATATTTGAATTAAATAAGATTGAATAGCTTTAGAGGTAAATGAACATAAACAACACAGTTGTCTTAATTAAAATCTGGGGTTATGTTTCATGGGAGCGCTAAAACAGTAAACATTTTCACGGTAAGTAAAACTTGGCTGGGAACGTTCAGAAAACAATAATACATGCATATTTTAATTTGGTTTCTGGTTAGCAAAATGCTTGAATCCCTGTGTTGTGGCAGTCCACTCTAAGTAATTATATCTCCACTCAGTTGAGATAAGGCATTTACTTTTGGGATTTTGAAAATCTCAGCTTCAACAAAACCGTCATGAAGGCCAATCTGACTTGATGGCATTGTATGCAAATGTAATCAGTTAAACAATCCTACCTGCACATGTTGGAAAATAACCTGAATAAATGTCAGTTATAACTCACATAAATGTCAGTTACAACTGACATTTATTGATAGGGGTGTTGTGGTCCAATGGTTACGGTGTTCAAGTCAGAACTCAACCAACTGGTTCTTTTCAGAACCACACTTCTTCAAAGAAGAGATTTCTTTCCACATGGTGTTACCCTAAGTTTTCCTATTTTATCTCATCCGCCATGCAAAGCTTCAAGTCATATATACAGTGATCGATTCGTGCGCCGTGGTGCATGGGTTCGAATCCTGACCGTGGGAACATGGTGCTTGTGCTCTTGAGCAAGGCACTTTACCATTATTGCTTCGTCCTTCGGATGGGACGTAAAGCTGTGTGTTGTGTAATGCACGTTAAAGAACCCAGTAACACTTATCGCTAAGAGAAGGGGTTTGCCCCGGTGTTTCTGGCAGTGGCTGCAATATGTGCCGCAGCACCTTGTAAACCCTTATAAGGTGCTATATAATGGGTCTCATATTTCTCATTTAACGTTTCATGTTCCTCACATATCTCATAAGCTAAAAATTGAAATGCCAAACAATTGAATAAGTACTTTTTATTTGTTACACTTGTTTTCACTTTTCTCTACCCCATCTGTTGCTGAACCCATCATCTGACATCTCCCCCAGAGTGAGCGTCTAGCGCCATCTAGTGTTGAGACTTTTCATAGTTCAGTAGTTCTTGAATCTCCTGTACAATAGCCGAAACATTTACAGTCATACTGTAGGCAGTAGAGATAATAATGGATTATGCGAAACGGAAAACGCTTCATATTGTGAAAAAAAATCAGTTGTGGAGTTTCTATATCATTTGAAAGCCAAAACGGAGCTCTTCCTTATGAGATGAAGATCCCTTTAGTATATAGCAAATGATTTTCTGAAAATTTAACATAGAGGAAGGAATTTGATTTTTTTTTGGCGTGCATTGTTTTGTTAAAACTGTGACAAATTGTAATAGTATGACAATATAGTGAGGGCAGAATCTATTTATTATTTACATTTTTTGAGAAATATTCCTTGAATCAAATCGTGACTCTTAAAAATTTGGCCCAGAATTTTCGGAATTTTAACTAAACCCAGTGAATTGGCCCGAACATTTCTCTTGACTTAAAAAAAAAAAGTGCACAATTTTCAGATTCCCTTTAAAAAAAGAAACAATTAACTTAACACCCTTAAATCTTCAAGTACTGCCTCGTACTTTAAAAGCCTTACACCCAAAAATGTTGTGCAATTCATTTGTGAAAACTGCCACTCAAAATCTGTTTGCAGAAAATATAGCCATTGAGCTTAAAAAAACAAGAGAGTTATTACAACATGTGTTATGCTTAATTTCTTATTCTTGTGTTCTTTTTCCTTTTTTTTTGTTTTTTTGTTTTTTTAATTAAGTACTCTGGAAAGGGATACTAAAGAAATTAATATTTTTCCCCTTCTCTGCCGTGTGTGTAAGTGTCTCGTTTGCAACAACATCCAAGTTTTTCTGTTATCTGACAAAAACTTTAAAATCTTCACGAGCCTTTGATTTGAAACTTGATCTGAGAAAATGAGTTTGAAATTGCAGAGAGTAGCTTTATTTACAGGTGCTCGTGGACGTCAACAGGCCTCAAATTTCAGGGAAAATGAATCTCTCAGAATGCTTAAATATCTAAAAGATGCCTCAGAATGCACTGGGGAAGTATCTAAACCCAAGTAATAAGTTTGAAATTAAACACCAAATGAGCTTTATTTTCTGCGCACGAAGAAAAGCAGCTTTAAGATTAATTTTGCTGGTAGAAGTCCTCCGTCAGAATTCATTACCTTTCAACTGACTGAAGCAAAGTTTCCCGTCTTTGCCATCTCCCCGACCAATGCATGAGGAATTATTGTGTATATATGTGCCCTCCAGAAAAAAAAAGGAGAAAAAAAATTAGAAGAAAAAGTAGAGAAATATATTGGCGGAGGAGTATTGAAGTGAAAGTGAGAGACTTATTCCCAATTTTATTGGCTTGGTTCGGAGTCCGCTGCTGCAGCTGCATTATTGGAGCAATTAAGTCTCCCTTGTTACAATGTACGTCTGGCATAAGCTCCTTAATGCTGGCTGGAAGCCAAATGAGAGAACAGTGATGTACACGTACATACAGTGACACCCCCTCATGTACCAAACCCTGGCAGTATCACAAAGAAAAGAAAAAAATCATTCAGGTCTGCTACACGTTAACACACAGGTATGTACGTGGGAGCTATAATGCACTAATTCCTTCACGGCGTCGCGCGCCGCACACACACATCTGTGTCAGCCGAAAGCAGCAGCCCACTTTAAACCGCGGATCGGAGCATATATAACGACGCTCTCTAACGCCAATTGAAGGGAAAACATTTAAAGCATATGGTCGGCAACTGGAGCTGCCGCACGCCGAACTGTTAATTTAGCGGTCGTAACAATTGATTGTCCTTTGGAGTGGAGTTGACAATGAGATTGGAGGCCTCTGAATGAAAAGAGCGAATGGGGGAAACGGACGTCGGAGCTTTTGTTGATACGTAGGTTCTGTTGTTGGGTTAAGTACGCAGAGAGAGAGAGAGAGAGAGAGGAGCCTGATTCAAACTGCAGTGTTTGGGAGTATAATTGCCGTTTGTATTGCCGATTTTTATCGCGGGCGCAATTTGACGTTCCGTGCTCTGGAGAGAGAACTCGACCAAATGTGCCGGACCTACAGCGATCTTAATCTGTGTACATAAACTCGGCCTGTGAATTGCCAAATGGGATTTTTTTTCTTCTTCTTCTTCTTCGGGAATTTGTCCGGTTGATTTCTGCACACAGCAAGGGATTTTTTTATCATTCCTTTTCTCTCGCTGCTGAGATATTTACCGACGATTGTGTGCCGAGTAGTTGACATGTTGACTCTTTTATCTGCCGGTGGGTTGTGCAAAGGTTGACTTTGTTGCCGTGTGTCGAGGCTTGTTGCAGTGTGAATATCATGACCAACGGACAAGGCCACGGTATTGCCGTTATGGAAATTCATCTTGTCAATTCAGGTACAGTCATTCCTGTCATATCTAGATGTTTCAGTATGCTAAGGACTATTTGATTACTGTCATTTTTTTTTCTAGCGAAAGAAACCTTCAATTATAAATGAGGACTTTCCACATTGTATGTCAGTCCGTTTCTTATGTATCGATTATTATCATATTTTTGTGTCCTGTTTTATATTTTTCTGACCATAATGCTACGTATATTGTCTTGTGTTGCTTGTCAAGGAAGGACAATGTTGTACTTTTGTACTACTGAAAAATATTTCTAGATCTTTGAGAAACTTGTAAAAAGCCCTTATAAACATCATTTTCTAGACCAGATTTCAAAAGTGGAAAAAAAATTGTGGTATTACATGTTGTCACAGAAAGGAACAGATGAATATTTGAAATGTCACTATAAATGCTTGGTTTAATTTATTTTCAGTATCCTAATGGTATGGATAAAATTTTGGATTCTGACTAATGCTGCATTACTCCGTTAACATAAGGAACAGTACACACAGCAGACATGAGGCATTGAAGATTTTTTTTTGGGGGGGGGGGGACTGCGCACCCCGAAGGCAAGGATTTGGTTCGCTATTGTCGGCTAGCTTCAGCAGGTGGATTCAGCCTATGATTGTGCCTGCTATTTTGGATGTTGTAGGCATTTAGCCTCTCTCTCAGCCAGCCAGGTTGGACTTGGCTCCAATTTCATTGAACTCCTCAGCGTAGAATTTGCAAAAGCACAAGAATTAGTTGCATAGGCCCCCCCCCAAAAAATATTTATATTTCTGATTCCGATTACATGCCATTCAAAAATAGGGTATGTAGGTAGGGAAATATTTTTTTGCCAATTTTTTTTGGTGTGTGTACAATCATATGGAGACGTCTGCGTGTAGTCGAGGGTAAAAGTTAGAAATTGATTGTTTTGGGTTATTTCCCTCATATTTCCCATAAAAACAAGGTAGAGGCTGCTAGAATAGGGTTGGTAGAGAAACTGGAAGAAGAACTATTTTCTTTTTATCTTAGTAGAAAGCAAGTTACCAACCAAAATGTCATGTAAGCTGTACTATTTTTTGACTGGTACTCTGTGAAAATTGGTCTTGGGTGCAATTTCGTGTGCCTCTAAAAGAACCTAAGTTTCTGCTAAAAAAAAATCAGTCCATTTGACTGAGACTCTATGCGCAGTAAAGACCATGACTACTTCGGTGCCAGAATTTGCTTAGAATAGTGAGGCATAGTACAAAATGTTAAAGCACTTAGAAGCGTTGGCAGCTCAAATACGATTTTTTTCTGCTAACTGGGAAGCAACACCTTGAATTGATCCTTGATATTTTGAAGATATGGACCTTCTACTACTTTCTGAGACATACACAAATTTCACGAAAAGCTGAAAATTCTTTACAAACCATAGAATAACATAATTGCTGTACATGTACTTTCTTTGCTTGTGGCAAGCGGAGTCTTAAAATTGGGCCAGAAGCCTTAGATATCGAGTTTTACATGTATGCCAAGAAAGTAAAGATAAACAATGGCTTTATATGCCCTATCAGCTGTGGAAAACTTAACTCTTCAAGCATGTGTCAATCTAAAACAGAAAGATAATCAGTAAATTATCAAATGGTGGTAAACGACAAGAAATAAGCAACTGCTTGAAGTGAAGATGTTTCCGAGTCAACACCAAAGCCCGAACTAAAGAACCACTCAGAGTTACCTAAGTTTTTCATCTTGTGTGGCAGCAGTCATTTCCACACCAAAGTGAATACAGCGCGTCCCAAAATACCCGCAACATTTTTTTTTGCGAGGCTCTAGTGTTGCCGCGGAAACACGTATCGCCAATACTTTTATATCATTTTAAAGCTTAGAATCTTAACTTTATCCCTGGTAAGTATTGGTTTGATTTTCAAAAGGGTTTTGAAATGATTCGTGTTCAAATAAAGGCATGTCAAAAAAAAAAAATCATGGGCATTGTTTCTAATGTGGAAATGGTTCATCATGTTTAATGATGATGTGACGATCTCGTTGCCTTTTACTTTCTGTGTTTCCTATTCTGTTCGATCCACGTAGATACACCTTAAATGAATTCACAATATTGCTCTTTGTTTCAAGTTTAACTTTGAAATTCACGTGCATGTATGTACCTATTCAAAAAGTGCACTAAAAGTTTGACTCGAGTTTGCATCTGATGTACCGCATCATTGATTTTCCTTGAAATCGGTTGAGTTGGTTTTCGACATGCCTTTATTTGCACACAAATAATTTTAAAACTGTTCTAAATATCAAACCAATACTCGCCAGGGATAAAGTTCAGATTCCAAGCTTTATAATGGTATAAAAATAATGTCGGTACGTGTTTCTGCGCCGCCGCTAGAACCTCGCAAAAAAAGTTGCGGGTATATTGGGACTCGCTGTAGAACATTTCCCTGAACTACATGTTACCTGTTTACTGTACTCAATACCAGTTAACAACATTAAGATGTAACATGTGTGCAACTCTGCACGAAGTCATTAGCCTAGTTAGGGCCATTAGCCTTAATTCAGGACACACTAAATTTGTTCCACACATGGACTACTCTGTCCTTTCAGAGAATGAGTGCACTGTAATTACCTACAACCTAATGCATTTTGAGTGCAGGTACGGTAACAGCTTGTATAAAAACTACATCATATAGTGCGTGCTGTTTTATTTTTAAAGGAAGAGTATATCATTTGCAGCTATCCAAAAAGTAACTGACAAAATTATTGTTGAAAAGCATAGGACCTACTTGGTTTATTTCTTTTGCAAGCTTAATAGCATAGCAGCATAGCAGTGTATACATGTACATGTGCATGTATCTTGTTACCTGCACCCTTTGCAGTATAATAATACAGCATATCACTCGACTCGTACTCAAATTGCCTCGCTTGAAAAAAAAAAATGTGATAGATTGATTATCGTTATTGTCAGGTAGTGGTTCTACTAATATTGTAATCATACATTCTTTGGTGAAACTTGGCTATTATGTAGCTCCTCAAAAATACATACTACTACTGCCCGGTAAGGCCAAAAAAAAATAGTTCTGCTTCCGATTACATGGCATTCGAAAATTGGGTAGGTAGGTAGGAATTTTTTTTTTTGGGGGTCAACTTTTTGTGTGTACGATCATATGGAGGCGTCTGCGTGAAGTCAAGGGTAAAGGGTAAAAGGTAGAAATTGATGGTTTTGGGTGTTTTTTCCTCATTTTTCCAATAAAAAAATTAGGGTAGGGGCTGTCAGAATAGGGTAGGTAGGGAAACCAGAAGCAGAACTATTATTTTTTTTGGCCTAATTCATTGCGCACTTCACACATATTGCACTGCACTTCACCGAGACTACGTCCACACTAAAAATGGTATTGCTACTTTACTCTTCTGCTCCCTTTGTATGATATTTATTTTGGATCTCCACAAATAAAAACCATTATAGCCTAATTCCTTTTTTGTTCTGTTGTTACTGTTTTTATTACTCCAAAGTCCTTGATCCCCCCTGAACGCTTAACAGGCTTGAAGTATCTCTAGTGTATTATTTTTGGAGCTAAGCCAATATGGTTCAATTAGGAGACCCCAGATTGCAGATACGAGACATTGACAGGCTGTGACATAGCCAGAAATTTCTTCCTGGGAATTAAGCGACTGCCAAGTAATTTGAAGAAAGGGCAAAAACGGCCGGAGCACTACTAATAAGATAATCAAATCCTGTCTAGGAAACTTTGGCGCTCGGACATGAGAAATTCCAAGCTAAGCTCCTGCATGCTATTGTGTTTTTTCCAATAATATCTCAAAATCTTAACCTGTTGAAGTTTCAGCTCAAAGGCGGATCCAGAGCACTATTTTTTTGGGGGGGGCCAAAAAAATTTGTTCTCCAAGAAAGATTATTAAAAAAATGACGGAGAGGGAATTTTTTTTGGGTTTCTAGATGCTCTGTGGTGTGATCTGAGGCAATTTCTGACCACTTTTAACCAATTTTTTTTTTCAGCAAAAGATGGTGGTGTATGTAGTGGCTGCCTTTTTTGCGACGTCACTTAAAAAAAACCCCAAAAAACCATTTAAATAAAATTTGAAAGTGAAGCTAGAAATAGTCTGGCACCACTCCATTCAACAGTTCACAATTTATAAAATACATTCAGGGAACATGACCAAGATGGCTTCCTGTTGAATAAGGTCCATTGTGTTGTTTGCTATCACCCTGATGGATTCGCATACAAGTATGAAGCTGATGACCTTAAAAACAGCATAATTGTTTTCTGAACTGAATGAACAAATTAAACTTGTGTTTTAGTTTCCTTCTCGTAATTTCATCGCCACAATTTATTAACTCTCTTTCCAACTGGACCTGGGTTCTTAAGTGCAAGCTAGAAACTTGCGTTGGTCTTGACATTTCACGTCCCTGTACAAAATGTAGTATAATACGAAGGAAAAAAACACAAAAACAAGCCTTCAATGGTAAATGTTACTTACCGGCATGCATGGACGAAAATAGAAACGACAACGAGAGGTCGTTTACGATGCAAATTAAGTCCACTTCATTGATGGGCGACGTGGCCTTGGCGGTTTCGTCTGTTACCATGGATTGTGTTGTTGTGAGCGTCTAATTGTGCTGATCGTTTCCATGGCGATACCATGGAATTTTGGTGTACGCTCGTGAGCCTTAATATCACAAGCTTACTCGGTATGCAAGGTAATGTCTGTACTTCCAGCAAATGAGTCAGTTTTTTTTTTTCAATTATGTAAACAGCCACTTTGACAGCCTATATGGTTGCCTTGTTGAAAGCTTTAGAACGTAGACATACCTGTTTTTTGCAACCTACAGTGTAAATAATGAAGGCTCAAATACAACCACGTCATCCTGCTGCGATTTCCTTGAATGCCTGGGGAAGTTAAACAATGACCTTTTGGTATGTTTTCAAATTTACTAAATTTATTTATTATATGGTTTATTTTACTCTCCCGTCGCAGCCCGAAGGCTGAATTGTGGGCAGGTTTACAAAAACATTCAAAAATAGACAGTAGTAAAAATTGCATGCATAACAATTCAAATAATTACAAGACCATAACGAGAGTTAAAAAAATAATCATGCATGTAACAACAAGAATTGAGGTTCATAACAAAAAAACAAAAAAACAAAATCTTAAAAAAAAAAAGACTTATAAGGCCAAAAAAAAAAATATTTGGTCTCTGGTCAGACCAAAGTTCCGGAATTGACGCGGCCACGCGGCTTTTTTTTTTTCTTTTCTTCAAGCTTGGATTGTACAGACAAGGTGGGTACTATTTTGCTTTTTTGGTATCCTCATGTACATTGGTGTCCTCCATAATTTGCCTTGGTGCTTTCGATCATTTGCCTTGGTGCAATTTCCCATTCCTTGGTGCTCTTTGGTAAAAAAAATTTGAGGAGGTGCGGAAATAGAGGGCGCTGTTGGAGCTACCGCGGAACATTTTGAAGAAAAAAAAAAAGATCGACGCGCATGATTAAAATCGACACGCGCACTGACCAGAGACCGACTTATTTTTTTTTTGGCCTAACAGTTGATTAAAAACAGTTGATTTAAGAACAGTTGGAAAAAAAACAGGGAGACAAGAATTGATCAGATTACGAAAAATGTTACAGAAATTGCCTATTTCTCTTAAAAAGTCCATGTATAGATGATATAACAAATCGTCACGGACACCACGAACTGACTCTCACGCGCAAGTGGATGTCAGTTCGTGAAAACCGCATAATCAACAATTTCGGTTTTACGAACTGACACCAGGTAGTGTGCGCATTTCGGACAGTTACGCGAAAAAGAACGATTTTCGTTTTTACGAACTGACACCCAATTTTTGCGGCAATACAGCACGGAGAAAAACGGTTTGAAAGGTTTGACATGAAGTTAATCCATCCGTATACTTGTGGCCTAGTACACAAAAATTTAATGAAAATCTGTTTTAACTTGTGAAATTAAGATCCGTGTCAGTTCATGAAAACGAAAATGTACGGAGTGCTCGCTAGAAGTGCCGCACTGTGCAGGGCGTCACTTCGTGACAACGAAAATAACCCGGTTCTGTAAAATACGCGCGTGTGCCGCGCACTCATGCGCAACTGAGTGTCAGTGACGAAATATAGCAACATTTACATATGTAAGCCTGTTTTTTCATTTTTGAAATCCATCTTCTTTTGTTTTAATTGCTACTTTCTACCATTGCAAACGTTATTCATTTTGGGATGAGGCATTATACGGAAAAGCGGCCAATGTTTAGTTATGGAATAATCACCTCACAAATTTCAAATTCGGATGTTGCAAAAGCAACTTAGAAACCCAAAATAGAAAACAAATCAGCTGTTTTCGTTAACATAAAAAATAAAGCGTAAATATCATCGGGAGAAAAACAACCAAGACCACAGACAATTCCTTAAATGATTTGAAAGACAAAAAACCTGAAGAGCGTAGTGTTTTTTTTTGGTTGCATTTCAGAAACTGAGTAATAAGTGAAAAACAAATAAAACATTTGTATACACTTTGATACTGCCAATCCCCGGCGTATAGATCCTGCGATAATTTAGTCTTAACGTCAACATCGTGTTGTGGGCAGGAATAATTATGTTATCACTGACCCCCTATTGATTTTGGAGACGACGAGGGCCTCGCGATTGTAGAGGAAGTTAAGTGATATGGATTAGTGTGGTTAATTAATGAACAAGCGCGGCTTGCGCTATCGATAAGAACACGTTAACTCGTGTAAAAAGTGACATCTGGCTTTTGAGGGGTTGGAAGACAGGGGAATGCTAGAAAAGCATTAAGAGCCTTTTCATAATATCTAAAATGTCCATGTCAACACAGAGATTTGGGGACACCCTGTCAAAGCACGATCAAACTAGCAATAATCCAACATGGATTTTACATGGGTCCGACGCTGTACACGGGTCCGGCGCTCCGATTGCATTATGTGACGCTCAAAATTTTGTCCACATAGTCCGCAATGAAACAGAAATCACATCCGGTATGGAATGTGCGCATTTCTATGGGATGTTTTCGGATAGCATTTGCGCACATTGTCTAACTGCGGTCTTGAACAGCTGCAGCCAGATGCTTTGTACATAGGTCATACAATGTAGGCCACTTCCTTCACAAGATTCTGTGAAGCTCATCAGAGTATCCCAGCGTCCTGTTTGCAGGGTGGGGGGTACGAGCGAATACGTGGGTCCGGTGCTCCACATGGGTAAAATCTAACCCTAGTCGGTAACAGGGTTGAGAGGCCGTACATGTAGCTGGGTTAAAAATCCAAAATCTACAATCCAGTGCAGTGTAAGTGTGCAAGGCAGAGTTGTAATGACTCGAGTCAATAACTCATCTCGAGTCCGACTCGAGTCACAATTTTTGGTGACTCGACTCGACTCAAAAGAGTATATCACTAGACTTGACTTGAGTCACTGTGAGCAAATGACTCAACTCGACTTGAGTTCCTCATCGTAATGACTCGAGTCAATAACTCATCTCGAGTCCGACTCGAGTCGCAATTTTTGGTGACTCGACTCGACTCAAAAGAGTATATCACTAGACTCGACTTGAGTCACTGTGAGCAAATGACTCGACTCGACTGAGTTCCTCATCATAATGACTCGAGTCAAAAACTCATCTCGAGTCCGACTTGAGTCACAGTTTTTTTACTCTCTTTGACTCGACTCAAAAGAGAATATCCCTAGACTTGACTTGAGTCACTGTGAGCAAATGACTCGACTCGACTTGAGTTCCTCATCAGAAGTCTTGACTCGAGCGAAGGCTAGTAAGACTTGAGTCCCAAAAATAAAAGCAAAACTTTGCGAAAAATATTGAAGTCTTGACTCTAGCAAAGGCTAATAAGACTTGAGTCCCAAAAATAAAAGTAAAACTTTGCGAAAAATATAATGACTTGCGATGCAGAATTTATGTTACGGTACGAATACAGTACGGTACGATGGCCGCTTGTCATGTACAAACATACAATGTCTCACAGACTCCCACCTTGTGGTTCTGGAATGCACAAAATGCTATCCCCGAACCGAACTTTAAAACACGTTTTCCAATTCGTGGTTTCATCATTGGCTTTGGCTGTTTTCTAATTTAGCTCTTGGATTCGAACCTTGGCTAAATTTATGCCCTTCTTTTTAAATTCAAACTGATGAATGCCCGCTTCTACAGGGCCCTCTCATGTGAAAAATGGCCATATTTGAATTATGCATACATGTGTTTGAGTAGGCTATTGATCGCTTTAATTTAAAGGGAACATGAAATAAAATTTTGATTGCATTTTTTTTGCTTAAATCAATAAAGGATGATGTTCTTAACAATATTTTGTGTATGGCGGTGTTTATTTTCTAAGATAAATGGGGGAAAATAATTTGTGAACATGTTTGGTCAAACTACTCCGCCCCACAAAGGGAAGCTTCATTAACATAAAACTTCGCGAGGGGTATGACGCAAGCGGAGGCAGAGACTTGCCGCGCTGCGGGGGCACCGGCATTGCGGCGTGCATCATAATACATGTACATATACATTGCGGCACTGAAAGTTTTTCTGGTGTTTCGTTCGGAATCGAGGAGAAATAACACCCGATTTTCGGCCATGCCGACAAGGTGTGTGGCTGCTGGGTGTAGCAAAACTACCAAGGATGGAGTAAGCCTTCATTTCCAGTAAATCCGAAATATCGGAGCATTTGGAGAGCCAAAGTGAAGGTAAATACCAGAGCAAAGTGGTCCGGGCCCAGTGAGTTCGCTGCCCTCTGCGCTGCACTTTGAGCCGTCGTGCTTTGATGCTGGTCTGTACAGCAACTTGGGCATGCCCCTAAAAAAACATCGAGTCAGTGTCTGAATCATTAGAACTCAGATTCGAATCGGACGAATCTGTACCATTTTCATCGGATTCGCTAAGGAAAGAAGAGGACGGTCTTCGGAACTTTTACGGTCATGACGGTCGTCGTGTTCATTCGACAACGGTGGCACCGTGGCACGTCCACGTGTACTGTACATATCCCATGTAGACACATTCGTACGTGTGCATATAATGCCACGTACGGGTACGCGGCGGCTGCACATACACACAGCACAGTAGCTTCGCTAATCCGTCTCGTACCCAGACGTCATTTACGGGCCCTGGATTTCTCTGCCTTTGTTTATGTCATGAACAGCGCCCTCATTTGGAGTTGCCGCGAAAATCAAAAAGGGGGGGTTCAATTTTGGACGGCAAATTACCACACTAAACGTACACCAGAACCAGTTCTGCTTTTATTTCACACTTAATACACATAAATGAATGTATATATAAAATAAAATACGTTATGAAAATTTTGGACTGCATGTTTCCTTTAATCAAAGGTCTTTTCTAAACAGCAAAAACCCCCGGGTACAATGTGCTAACCTACGTCAGTCATTAGCATAAGCCTTAAGTTTTTATAGGAAATAGTATAGTGGAATATGGAATATAAATAATGCAATAGTACTAATGTTCAGCAGTAATGTACATGGTGAGGCACATTGAACAGGCCAAGCACAGTCAAACGGCAGACGCCCCATTAGTCTGCAGACATGCCTCCCTTCTTAGCGCGGTGTGGTTTTCATCGCTCTATCACTAAGGAAGAACGACAATGTAGGTAACCAGGCCCCTATCAAGAAACCTTATATGTGTGTCTTTGTGTGTCGAAAGGAGGGGGGGGGGGTTAAATCGTGCTTGCATTATGTCTTCGGAAACGACTCTCACAGCGGGTAAGGCCTGAGTACATTTCGCCGTTCCAAGACTGTCACCGAGCGATTAACTCCGAGCCATCAATCTTGCGGGCTTGGGTAATTGTACAAACACGCTTCTTTCGGAAGCCCGTCTTTATACAGTTCTCCAATGTTTTCCCGATTTGTCTTATGTTTTCCTTTTTTTTTTTTCTCCGCTCGTTCTATTTTTGCATACAGGTCCTCAGCCACGAGTCTGAAGTACAGACTGAAGCACCACTGAGAAGTCGCTCGGATCACTGTCGCTTTTTTTTTTTTTTTGGTTTGGTTGGTTGTTCGCCGGTCCGTGACGGCGGGCGATCGCTATGTCGGCCAGCGATGCGACCGAAGAGGCCGAGATGCAACCTCTGAACCCGTCGGGCGCCAGCGGGGCATCGGGCGCCACCGACAGCGGCACGGAGGAGAAGGCGGGCAACGTCACGCCGAGCCTGGAGACGGCGGACATGCCGCTGGTGGTCCGGCCGACCCGGCAGCGCGTGGGGTTCCTGATGGAAGAGGACGAAGACGACGAGCACAGCGAGCTGCGCAAGAAGGTCAAGCGGGAGTTTGCCAAGATGAACGGACGCAGCAGCCACGAACGGCTTCAGCAGCAACGCATGAGTCTACTAGGCAAACCGCTTGCGTACAGACAATCCAAACGGGACGCCAAGTTCCGCAAAGTCCAGACAAGGATCTACAACTTCTTGGAAAGACCTGCGGGATGGCTTGCCATCATCTATCACATTTTTGTGTAAGTAGAATTTTTTTCTCTCTCTCTTTTCTCTTCTATTTGAACTTATACAGCCCCTTTCTTTAAATTTATACCATTAACTGTTTATACTGTAAATTTTAACCAATAAGTGTGAAATTTGTTATGAATCATGCCCTTTTTTGCAGGTAGTGAATATAACCCAGGATGCACATTGTTAAAACAGCCCAAAAAATAGCGAATGGAGTTAGAACAAAAACCAGTTTTGAAGAGCAGCCCGTGAAAAATAACATTTCCCTTTGAATGCATAATCAGCAGTATTTCCACACAAAAAAGATTGATTAGGCCTATGCAGTTTGATTACTCCATTCTCCATTTTGAAGTTCTGTTATGATGATTGTTAATGACAGGCTTTCGTCTCTGACTACAGCGACACATTTTCATACTTGTTGATAAATGCACATTTCTGGTGCACCAGATCACAACAAATACTTCAACTTTGCACCTTTCCGCCTTTGGTTCGATAAATGCCATTGCGGGAAAAACTGCAGATGTGCATGCAGAAATGGAATGAATGAAGCGCTGTGTGATAGTGAAAACAAAAACAATGAATTGTAATTGCGATCCCCGTTGCTATAACAGATTCGAACCAGCCAACCGACCCCGGCAAGCTCGGTGGTCCAGTGTTGAGATGTAAGCATGAGGTCGTGGGTTCGAGTCCCACCCGAGTAGCTTGCGAATGTTTTCTCACTTGCCCTCGGACAACACTGAGTGTACAGTGTTCATACAAAAAACGGTGAAAGGCAAACCCGAATATTGAAAAAGAAAGAAAAAGAAAATGTCTTTGGATGCAGGCACTTGTACATTACCACTGGTAAAATTGTTCAAACAGTCAATGGGCAAATAAAGATAGCAGTGGTTTTTCAAGTCTGTGTTGTCCTTAATAGGAATAGACGTAACTTTGCTGGTACCAACCACCCTATTCAAGGCTGTTAATTGTTCAGAGCTCTCATTGAATAGTACTTAAAATATCTGGAATGTACTGGTACCGATCCATATAATAGGTGTCTTTATGACAGCATTTTATAATTATGATCTACCGTAGCGGCTCTCACATTTTCTCCAGTATAGGAATTCAAAGATGATTGCTAAAATCAATGAATTTAACAGTGTTGTGTCAAGTCCATCGCAAGTTGGGTCACAAATCAATCACATTCCAATTTGGAGGTCCAGTCTCAAGTGACGTACAGGTGATGGATGTTAACTCTAAATCCCTAGGCATTATTGATAGGATGCAACCTCTGTCCTGCAAAATCCTCCAACTGCACGTGAAAATTGCATACAGCCTCAATCCTGCAAACTCATCCGTTATTTCTTGACTGTAGTCCTTGGAGGGGTGACCACTGCCTCAATCCTGCAAAATCCTCCGGCAATCACTGTCAATATGTTGAGGCAGAGCCAATGACATCCTGGAGCAGTGCGGAGGATTTCAAGTATAATCTACTGGTAGGCCTAAATTTATGCACGGCTGAGCATAAACAATGCAAGGTCCGGCCTAAGACCTTGACACAGTGCATCCTCCAAAATCAGCCACACACTTTCACCATATAGCCTCAATCCTGCAAAATCCTCCATTTTGCATAGAGATTTTGGAGGATTTGGGAAGGTAAGGGCAAAGGAATGAGTTTGTCCCAATTCACTTGAATTTAGCCTGTGACTTGGAACTGCATGGATGACTTACGTGCTGATCTTCGGAGGATGCACTGTGTCAAGGTCTTAGGCCGGACCTTGCATTGTTCATGCTCAGCCGTGCATAAATGTAGGCCTACCAGTAGATTATACTTGAAATCCTCTGCACTGCTCCAGGATGTCACTGGCTCTGCCTCAACTCATTGACAGTGATTGCTGGAGGATTTTACAGGATTGAGGCAGTGGCCAAGAACCACATTCACTTGTGAAAACTGTAACGGACATGGGCTGGGCTGAAATACTGAATTTTGACATACCTAAAGATGCATACATACATTAAATGTATGTACAATCACTATGTAACAATACTGACTTCCAAAAAGTAGACGTAAACTAAAAAAAAATTTTTAAAAATAGGAGTGGCCACGTCTACGTGCAGAAAAGCGTGTCTTGTGTTTAAAACTCCGGTGACATACCTGATCTGTGCACGATATCAAATTATCTCTTATCAAATTATCTACCATGGCACTTTAAACCGATGTTTGAACATTGTACAAGAAAATTGGCTGTTACCCATTCTCTTGCTTGTCGACGCCTACCAAGACAAAAAAAAAATCAGCAGTAACTCACGTTGCGGGTAGATCATTTTCCAACCAGCTTGAACAAATGTTGTTACATCGGCGCAGGATTGAAAGACTGAAATAATAATGGGGAAGAAAAAGAAAAAAACCCATCGGGATGATGAATGAATTTTTAAGGATGTATATTGCTCAGGCCGGCGCAAGCATCTCTAAATGTCAACGAGCAATTGAAACAGTAAGATGTAACACTGTAGATGGTTAATCAACAACCTGTTTTGTGAAGTTGCCGAGGGCCAAGGGTCTCCCAGCGGCACGGTCAATCAATCATGCAGTTTTTATCGGTATCGGCGATTCAGACCCTGTTTGTTTCAGGTTATTAAAGGTTAATTTTTGTGGTTGTTTTTGATTGTAAACAGCGATTGTAAATCAACCCACACAGACTTGTACTTTTTAGGGTATTGTACTCCATTGTGCGTTAATTCTATTAGCGTCTCTGCTGCATTGTATTAAATTTTTATATTTATTCCTGGATGGCTCCATATCCTATACAATGCCGGGATAGCTTGCGGTAGGGGTGTGCATCTGAACCGGGTACCGGAGTACCCGACTGTGGTATCAGGAACCATTTCCAGATTATGGGATCGGGTACCAGTAACCAACTTTACGGATTACTTATAGTAACTTCTCAGACAATGAAAAAGAAAGGTTTTGAAGTCATTCATGGGGAATTTCTAACACAGTATTCAAAGATGAAAATTTCTGATTTTTATTGGAAAAATTGACTTTTTGAATTTTCCAACGATATTTCCAAGTTTTGAATGATTTGTCCCACGAAATTTTATTTTTTTAACGATTTTCCACAATATGTGATTTTATTTAAAGTATAATTTCAATGAGAAGTTGATGAAAAAGTCGATGAAAACAGCACGTAAAAATTGTCACAAGCATAGTTTTAATCTCTTTCACCAGTCGTAATTAAAGTGAGAACATTTTACCCTTTTTTACACTTCGTAAAAATGAAAAATCATGGAGTTCAGGCTTTTTGTCAGATGTTGATTTAAAATACGTTAATTAAGGCCGTGTCCGTCTATTGTCAGCGCGTCCCGGCATATTTTCAATGGGTGCAGACCTAGACCTACAATCCCGGCCAAAATGGTTGGGACACTTGGAAATAACCTTAGCCTTTCACGGTCACCCACTCCCCCGCTCCCCTGGTCAATGTTGTTCTCTCCAGCTGATGGAGCACACACCGCGCAATGAGAGACAACATTGACGGGGGGGGGGGGGGGCCAGCTAGATTTGGCCAGGATTGTAGCTCTAGACAGTTGATTCGGATGCAGCCTATTAGAAAGTAAACTATGGTTTGCTTTGGAACTTGGTCATGTTGTTCCTTGATTGGAATTTAAGTCACACACATGACAATTCGTTCAGAGCTCCAGTGACCTCGGAAGCAGAGTCTCCTCTAAAGCCATCCTGTATCAGGCAGGCCCAGCGCCTTAAACCAACTCCAAGATCCTCGCTAATGAGCTGCCCTTGGCCTAAATAGCCACCGACAAGAATCCGACTTGATGCTTTCAATCAGTCTGGGCATCCCAAAGCCACTTCCCATATGGGGGAATAATAGATTCCTCAGATTAGGGATGAAGTACGATAAAGGGCCTTAACTTCAGACGAGAGACAAAATAAAATTTTCAGACCAATAAGAGATGAATGTGTTTTAAGTAATACGTACTTTGGAAAGTTGATCTGTGAATGAGGGAGTGATCTACTTTTTCCTTTGATTACATTTTCAGTGATGTTTCTGCACGGTTTAAAGTTTATCAGAGATATTGTTATTGCTGTAAAGTGCATTGCCCAAGGACTGTTACTGTTTATACTTTATACATTTTCAAAACCTTGCCACAGGAAGTTTCGTGTCGCGGTGGTCAACAAACCGTGCAAGTCCGTTGCTGGCTTCATCATGTTTACAAAGTAACGACCCATTTTTCATGCCCCCAACCCCAACCCCTTTGCCATCAATATTCTTGCTTACCGTGAACTGACCCTCCCAATGAATCAAGTCACCGCAGTTTAAGACTTCTTGCTCCCCTTAAAAAACAATTCCCGGCCAAGGGGCTGGCTAGCAGGTTCGTCTGACTCGCAGTCCGGACATTAACGTTAATTGCCCATTAAAATCCCTGTGATATCGACAACCATGGCAATGCAATTAGCAAGTCGGACCAGGCCGTAGAAACCGAAAACCAGAAAAGAAGAGAAATCGAATTACTGCCACGGTAGCCCGCACCGACGTCTTACAGGAGCCCTGGCCCGAGTCTCGCCGAAACACCTGCCAGCTTAAACCATCAGGTTTCATCGGGGAAACCGTAACACGAAGCCACCGACTTGCCCCAGGATCCACCCAGTGTATCTTGGTACGAAATAGCTGACTTGTTTCCCATTGTTTTCTCTGTTTCTTCCTTACGTTGTTAGCGCCGCGGGGCATAGGATCGTTTATCGCGAGCTCTTTCCCCGACCGATGAGACCCAAGAAGTAAAGGAGCTCAATTTTTTTTTCCTTTAAATTATTTTCATCCATCCTTCTCTTTCGCCCCTTCTTCCTTCGGCCATCTCTTTCGGAAGTTATTCTGATGAACGGTTTCTGACAGTGGCGGGCCGGTGTACGGTTTCCATGCTTTTTTTGGTTGCATATATGCAGATGAGATTTGATCCGGTTCTTTTCAGAACCACACATACTCACAAAAGAGATTTTGCCAAATGGTGCTGTTGCAACAACTTATCTTATTATTACATACATGTATGCAGTAAAGCTGAGATGTATGTATGTACATACAGGGTGAGTCAAAAAGAAAGTGACCCTGATTAAAGATTTTGTTTCTCCTTTAAGAAGCAATCAAACTTGATACACCAATGAAGTATGTCTCAAAAGAGCATGTTCTTCCACTCATCTGAAAAAAAAAGGATTACTGAAATTGATCCATGCTATCAGAAGTTATGCATGTTTTGCTAAAACAAGCCATTTTTATAGCTATCCGTGGAATGCCATTGGAAGCTATTGAGCTTAGTAAGAATGACAGATTACACACAGGCATTGAAATACAAATGAGATTTTAATAATTGAAATCAAGACAGGTGAAACATTTCTTTACTGTCAGATTTGTGTCTTCAATATGAAGAACAAGTCAACTTATTTTCTGAAATATCGATGGCGATATATGTTTTGCTTTGCAAGTTCTCGTTCATATAACCCATCAGGCCGGTGTTTATCTCCAGTTTCCTTGGCATGAAACAACTGAGAAAATTCCTATTCCCCTGGACGGTTGCTCGTCCACCGCAGGGTACTCCCAGGTAATGCTGGTACCCATCTATAC